GATCAATTGCATTAATTTACAAAACGGGGGAAAATGTCACCCTTCATCCTTTAAATCTCAGCTGGGTGAAGGAGGCGCATTAAAGATAGGCACCACTGCTTTCCTCCTATATCAATAGAAAAAGGTGTCATAGGAGACATGACCTACAAATTTTAATTACCACATGAAATATTCAGCCTCTGAGATGAATCGCGACATCAAGAGAGCAAGCAAAGTCTGTCTCTGCCAGTTAACCCTTTCAGGGCCAACTTAACATTTCACACATACATTAAGACACACACGCGGATAATACAGTGTCCTAAAAATGTACAAGGATGTGCCAAAAACTGTATATAGTGAAGTAAAGCTTAAATATCATCCACCAAATTTGCATTTAAACAAGTTATTCAGCTGGTTTTCAGCTTAAAGGATATATATAGGTTATATACATCAATCAGCCATAACAATACGAGCACTGACAGGTCAGATGAAGTGAATAACTGATTATCTGGTTATCATGGCACCTGTCAGTGGGTGGGATATATTAGGCAGCAAGTTAACATTTTGTCCTCAAAGTTGATGTGTTAAAAAGCAGGAAAAATGGGCAGCGTGACGATTTGAGCAACTTTGACAAGGGCCAAACTGTGATGGCTAGATGGCTGGCTCAGAGCATCTCCAAAACTGCAGTTCTTGAGGGGTGTTCCTGGTCTGCAGTGGTCAGTACCTATTAAAAGTGGTCCAAGGAAGGGAAGGAAAAGCGCTGGACCGGCGACGGGGTCATGAGTGGCCAAGGCTCATTGATATACGTGGGGAGTGAAGGCTGGCCCGTGTGGTCGGATCAAACAGATGAGCTACTGTAGCTCACACTGCTGGAAAAGTGAATGCTGGTTCTGATAGAAAGGTGTCAGAACAAACAGTGCAACACAGTTTGTTGGTATGGGACTGCAAGCAATGCATCTTTGTTGCTGACCAGTAGATGGTGGTAAAATATCACACTTGCAGGAGCTGGCTTAATTCCATGATTCAATGATTGTTTTTTTTAGTAGTTATCCATACTTCTGTACACCAGTGGTTCTCAACCTGGGGTGTTCCACAGGGCATCCTCAGAAAAATGGGGAATATATTAATTTCACTGACTGACTTTACGGAAGTTTGCCCAATGAGAGGATGACTTCTGTTCATAAGCTTGACTCTATTCACTGTTAATCTGTTAATGTTATGGAATAACTAAATCTTCTCAGATGGAGATCCCAGATATCCCTGAGACCCATCTTATCAAATATCGGTCCATGGCCTGATGCGTTTCATGTGGGGGTCCTTGCCACCAGAAAAGGTTGAGAACCACTCCTCTACACCATGTATCATATCACTGCCTTTGTGGTATTAGTGAGGCCCTGTTGTCTGGCAGTGGGTAAAGCTG